ACAAAATTATTACTTTAAATGCGTGCTGTACAACTACGCTGCACAGCTACCTCTAAAGTAACACAGCCCAAAGGTTATCTATTCTTGTGTTTCCCAAATCATCCTTCAGCTTTCGACAAGCCAACAACGTCAGGTCCTATCTCCTAATTCCCGGAATTTTTAGCTTTAAGCCTCTGACTCTTAAAATGCATCAAGGAGCAGAAAATATCAGGTGGAGGGGAGGCCTGGCGCTTTGCCAGACAACAACTCGACCAGCAGGTGAACATGAATTTGTTTGGATTACACCAAAGTACGGTACTGCCTGCTAAATCCCTTGAGCAGTGAACTGTATGACAAGTAATTATACCGAAGAATTCCGTTACATCAGGTTTATATATTCACCAGATTGCAACGATAATTAACAACTGCATCTACTCACAAGTCCCTGTAGCTTTGGATCTGTTAATTGTAAAGGCTGATATGTCGCTCCACAGCATGGGGCTGAGGTATACCAACAGAGAGCACCACGGGCATATGCATCACACTCCTCCTCAGAGATACAGATGGCTCCTGCCCAGTTTTCTCATGCTTTCTCCCCCATATATTTCATGAACGCTACGCTCATTCAGAAAGACTTCTCTGTGATTTCCACATACCGGTTTACGATAAGCCTGCGACATGGTCAGTGCCTACTGGAAAGATGATCATTTGTGGCTCCGCTTGGGATGCCACCAATGCTAGTATAGGAAGATGGAAAAATCTCCCAAATCAATAACCTGCCTCTATCCCACACAGGTAATACGGGCAGAAAAAGCTCCAGTTTTTGGTACAGCTCCATTTTTACAGCAAGGCAAGGCTTACACGTCATTCCACGTATAGGACTGATACAGACATGCAGTGCCAGACACAAGGGATTTGGGCCAGAACTACAATTTTGCCCTAAAACTCAGCCTCTTATGAAACACTCTTTTTTTTTTTTTTTTTTTTTTTAGCTGAACTTTGTTCAGATTATGGGACAGAAGAGAGTTTTTTCAAAAAAAAAAAAAAAGGATAGTGTTTTGGGAAGAACTTTTGTCACCCGTTTCCTTTACAGCGCAACCCTCTAGTTTGTATCATCAATCTCAGTCAAGCATTTTTTCTAAATGTCCAGTTAAATTAGGTTTTGGCCTGTTATTAACGTTTCAGTTTTCGAATGATGATTGCCTTTTATGACTTTTCTTTTGAATCTTTCCTTCAGAAAGATCTCCTTAAGTCTGAATTACAGCCTGGAAAATTACCCTCTGCAAGTTTGAAATTCAACTTTGAAACAGAAAATAGTGCTCAGTCCAAAAGCCTGAACACAAGATGCTCAGTTCAGCCTGATTGAACTGCTCTTCCTTTCTTCTTTACATTTTGATCTCAAGTTTAGAGAAGATTAAATTCAGCCAGAAGTTCCCCAACCAGACAGAGATGAACAATGTCCAACATAGGTTTGTCAAGAACAAACCATGTCAAAAGTATTTAAATTCTCTCTAGGACGAGGCATAGGCCTTGTGGACATAAGGCAAGCAAGACTGCACGTGAACTGGAGGACAGGGCTAGTATTCAAAAATGTTCTTAAGAAGCTGGATAAATGATTTGGATAAATGATTAGGAGAAGCTGCAGTGCTGTTCAGCTGGTATAACACAATAGATGGCTGGTATAACATAATGCACGCACGCAAGCAATTGCACAAATAAAGAAACACTTGGGTCTGAGTTCTGCATTTTGAGGAATAGAGAGAGAGACTGAAAAATGCACAGCAGAGGTCAGCAAGAGCAATTGGAGACACTCAAGACCACACAAATAGACTTGGGCTTGAACTGGAGCAAAGATGACCGGCGTACACTTAAGACTAATTTTTCTAAAGGTGAGAATACAGAGGTGCTGTAACTGATTGCCTGGAAACCTGTGGTCTCCTCATCACTGAAGAAAAGTCAAATATTGGTAACAAACATCGTATGCATGTCAGGGGGACTGACTAAACTCTTGGAGTTGCCTTCCTGCCCTACAAGCAGTGCGAACCTGCCCTTACATTGATGATATAGCTATACTGATATTAGCAACCATGTGGAACCATCAGGATCTCCCCAAGCACAAGTACAGGCAAAAGGCAGACTCCACAAGCTGACAATTCATCTCTCCACTGTGATCATGCTGCAAGGAAACAGAAGCTTTGAAGGAAATGAATAGAAGCATCCTCTGAGCAAATTTAAGCTAGAATTAATATGGCTTTAGAAAAGCTTGCTCTCGGCCTGAGGCACAGACTGAATTACTTAAAAGACCTCTTAATGTGAATTTAAGCTCTCTTTTCATAACAACTTCTGGCCTTGAAACTGCCTAGAGCAATGGGACTCTGACCCATAACGTAAAGGGTAGGAGGAAGCAAAGTTTTACAGTCATGTAATTTAAAAAGAAATAAATACATAAAGAATATCATTACACAATGCATAGCTTTACAAGATTTTTTTTTTCCAATGATTTAGCTCTTAAAATTATCCTACAGCATTCAGCTTCAATTGCTATCACTTTGTCTTTCTTTAATTGCTGAAAGATTTTGGGCTGGATTCCATCTCATGTTCAGTATTTCGGAGGAGGACATGGAGCTGGCGAGAGCACCCGTGGGAACCCGCATGGGCGCTCCCCGGCAAAGATCCCCCAGCACAAGCCTCTCGCCCTCTGAGCTGTGCTGGCAAACAAGAAATACACGGTCCTTGGAAGGGAAAAAATCCTGTGCTGAACCAGTCACTACTTATATTTCCTAAAAAGTTTGTACAAGTGCTCAAAAATCAGGAAAAGATTTGACTCCCAGCTGCTGGGAAGGAGGGAATGTATTTCACATGCAAACTCTGAACTCGTGAGCAGCTGGGTTTTCATTTGTGCTACTGGGAATCTCCTACTGACACTTGTAGTTACACTGTTCATAAGACACAGTATCTGAGGGTCTTATCTTTTGGCGTAACTTTTGCATACTCACTTTTGTGCCTGGAATTCTGCAGAGAGGGAATAATCTTGGTCTCTTCTGGACAAGAAAAGTTTTCTGTGCACATCTTTCGGCAACCTACCACGTTTCTTCCACAGATCTTCTTAATGCGCTTGCAGATGCTCCTAAATCAGAGTATATCTGCTTTCCTCAAAGGTCATTGCACCAAGATTCTCAGTGTCTTTAGGACCATGTTATTTTGGCACAGACAACTCTGAGGATAATTTAAGAACCCCCTTCTTTTTCAAGGGTTCATACACACACACACACACACAAAAAAAAAAAAAGTATCAAAGCATTTACCCATCAAAATTCTAAAAGGGAGCAGAGAAACTAGTCAGACTCAGAAACATTTATGACTCTTGGTTTCGGGGAAGCTGATGCAGCCCCAGCTGCACTCCCCGCTTCGGCAGCAGAGGGTGCTGGCAGAATACCGAGGGTCCCTGCAAAAATATCCCTGGCTGATCCGTCAGGTGTGACTGTAATTTGTCCAGGGCATGCACTTCACACAAGCATCACTTAGGAAGAAGAGCGCCAGTGAATGGGTTTACACTAGGTTTTCCGTATCACCCGAAGTCTCTAAGACCCGCTCATCTCACGCAGAATTGTGCAGCGCGCTCACTCCTACACCTCATACACAGCTTCTGCAGTCGAGTCTGAAAACAAGGTCAAACATTTCATATAGAGCATTGGTCCAGTGGTTCTTGTGATTCAAGGAGAGCATGATCGACCAAGGATCTCAAGCTTGAATGTGAACAGCGTACACCGTGACGCTTGGTGCAGAGTCCTGCAGCCCAGCTGCCACTCTGAATCCAGCTCTTGCAGCTACCGCGCTCTCCCCAAGCCCAGCTGCTCCCATGGACACCCTGTCCACTTCCCACCACATGAAAGCTTTCAGGACAAATGGACTACATGAGTGCTGCTGCTGTTCCTTCTGCTCCTCAGCTTTATCGTGTCTTATTAGGAAGCCTTCTGCTCCTTAGCTTTATCGTGTCTTATTAGACCTCAAGCATCAGAAAAACTCACGGTTGATGCTGAAGGGCTGTAGGTGAGGTCACAGAAAGTTTATCTGCAAGTTAACGGAACTGACTAATTTATGGGAAGAAAAATCCTCCTTGCTGTGCATATATTTGCTCTTTTCAGATGTGATACTCAGCTTGCTAGATAACTGCTTCGTGATGAAAACATCCAAGCCAAAATATCAAGTGTGTTGCATTAAATTATTTACCATTTTTACAAAGACAGTAGGCTTAACTGAAAAATATCTCTTCAATGACCGGAATTTTACAGTTCTTCCAAAGAACATCAGCACATGAATGACACGCAGTACTGTGAGCACATTTCTAAACTCCGAAAACACGCTATCTCATTTACTGCATCCTGAACTCGTTTTCAAATGCAACTGTTGTAAGTATGTTACAAACCCATTAATACACATTCCCTATTTTCAGTCTCCACAATGAATAAAGCTACTATGATTCTGCTGTCAGTCAAACTTCTGCCTTATTACAATCTCTGTTTACTGCTAATTAGTGCCCCCTTTTCTTACTGGCTATGTCGAATTTTTGCTTCTTGGTGGGCAAACGCGGCATTTTTGCTTATACTTAACACGATGCTTTCCTGTTACAACTGAAGCATGAACGAGCTCAGTCTTTCTACGAAACCAGTGCGATGTTTCTTAGTCTACAGTTGCTAACGAAAGGGCTAAACGCACGCAAGTTACAAAAAGCGTAAGCCTAAAAGGCTCAAGGTTTCTAAAGGCAGACTGAATAGAACACAGCTGCTTTAAAAGTTTTTCTTCTGAGCGCCGCAAGTAGTCTCCAGTCGCGGTACCAAGAGGCGCTGAGCCGCGGCAGCTGCTGCCTGTGCCGCCCCCCCCCGCCGGGGCCGCTTCGCCTCCCCGAGCATCCTCCGCACCGAGCAGCCCGGCAGGACCGTAAACGACACGCTGGAGCTTCCCAAACCCCGCTCCCCCCCCCCCCCCCCCCCCCCCCCCCCCGCGCAGCCCCCCGCGCTCACCTCGGGCGCGCAGCCAGCGCCGCGCCCGCACCCCGCGCCGCTCCGGCCCCGGCCGCCGCCTCGCCGCGCCCCCTTCCCCGCTGCCCTGCCCCGGCCGCTCCTCGCCCCCCCCTCCCTCCCTCCCTACTCCTTCCTTCCGACCTTCCCCCCCCCCCCCCCCGGCGGCGGGGAGCCGGGCGAGCGGCGACCCGCCGCGCTGCCACCCCCCGGGGCTCGGCCGCGAAAGGGCAAGCGGGACGGGGAGGGCGGTAGCCCCGGGGCCGCCCGCCGCGCTATGGGGAGGGGGGAGCCGCCCGCCGGGCGAGGAGAACCCTCGGCTGCCCCTCCCCCGCAGGGAAGCCAGCACCGTCCTGTCCCACCGCCTCAGGCTTTCGCACATCAAACGTTTGCCTCGGCCGGTGAGGAGCCCACGCCGGCGCGCTCGGGAACGGGGGGAGCCCCCCCCCCCCTCCCCGGCAGCAAGGGCTCGCCAGCAACTGCGAGGGGAAACACAGAAAGCCACGCTTCGGCACGGCCTGCCTTAAGATACGGCACCCTCCCTGCAGCTCTTCCCTGGAGGGCCGTTATAAACACTTTCTAAGCGGGTGTCATTCTTCAAGCACTAAATGAGCCGCTTCAACATACGTGCAGCGCACGATTTCCCCGTAAGCCTGTCAGTGAATCCGGCGCGCCCGCGGATTTACCCTCATCCCCGATGGGCACGGCTTGCACAGCAGTTGTGTCACTTCTCCACTGGTAAAACAAAGCCACTTCATCTATGGCGAAGGTTATTAGGCCTCTGCCGTTAATTGTTCCTTGATACCTGCTCAGCAAAATATTTTCAACTTGCCACTTGCCCAGAGAAAGGCTGCTTAAGTAGTGTCAATGGACGTAAGCCATAACCCATCTACTGTTATGGCATCAAACGGCAGAAGTATGTGGTCTGTGTTCTTGAACAACACACAGGTGAGATCCCTAAACACTGAATACAGCAACAGAAGGGGAAAATTACAAACTGACTTACCCCAATAAAAGGAGACTCCCGACTGCCACTGAGAAAGAAGAAAAAAGAAAAAAAAAAAAAAAAAAAAAGAGCAGGGGTAAACTAGGTATTTACAAATAAACTTCACATCACTATGTAGTCATTATTAATGACAGCACCATTATTTTTATCTGTAAGAATGAAAAATGTAGAGTTTGGGATTCATTAGCTCAGTTTTGATGATGTCTGTTCAGTTTGACGCTGATACTGGGCTGCTGTAGGTACCGGAAGACTGGCATCTCCATGGGCAAATTCCACTACTGTGCTTCAAATGGTATTTGGCTCAAAAAAAGTGATCCCCCCAGAAACTTTCTGGGGAAGAGCCACATCTTTGATGATGCTTAGCGAAATGGAATTCTTTGAAGTGGCCTCCTAGCAGCTGTCATACAACTATTAGTATTAACAGAATAAAATTCAGGTTAACGTGTCTGAGAGTAATCTGGCCGAAGCGTTCATAAATCAGACCTTGACCAGCTGTCATAAGTGTGATGAGCATTACTCTTGTCTTCCCAATGATGTGTGGAACTTATTTTTCTTTCCTCATCATTTGGTTTAAATCTTTATTACCTGCTTGATTACTACAGCATTTTTACAGTGCAACTGCAACACAGAAGACATACATTTCTATGCACATGATTGGAATACATCATTTATGTGATACAATTTTTCAGTCTTTCTCATGTGTTTTCACTGGAATATATATAGCGAGAAAGTAACGTGGTACTGTCTAAACTATTTATTTTCTAATATGAGTCATAATTACAAATTTGCTCCACACATATCAGTTTTCATGGGAAAAATTATCTTAGTTCTAAAATTCATATTTAACCCCTATGCTGTCTTCAAAAAGCACGCTTGATGTTTCCTTCCCAAGCTCCTATATAAGCACAAAAAAAACCCCTTAGAGCAATGCTTTATCATCTGCTGACACCATTTAAAATGTTTCTATGACTAAAACAAAACATCCCACACTGCCATATATCCCACATCTTTCATCAAACACTACAGAGCAGACCATTCTTCCTACATCAAACATAGCATGGCACTCCTCTGACCTTTTTGAGTACAAGATGCAAGAGTATCATTGTTCTGGACACTTGGGACAGACACCACAAGCCTCAGTTGTGTGACCATAAAGGACTGGATGCATTTGGACCTGCAAACGTCTGAATCTGAAAGACTGTCATTAAAATTATGGGGAATCTAAGTGGGATGATTTTAGGATGCCAGCAGAATCAATGCGTCAGAAAAAGAGTTTCTTGTGCAAACTAAAGCAAACCTAAGTGTTTAAAATCAGTCTTCAGTTCATGTTTGTATCTGTCCACAGATGTAAGGAACAGAGTGTGGCAGCAAGATCAAAACTCACAGTGGAAAGAACCTCAAATACGATTGGAAAGCAGCACCATGACTGGGGTCATGGTGTCAACGTGTGCAGAGATGACCACAGCTAGCTAGTCTGGATCACTGAAGGAAATGAGGTATCTTCAAGCAGGCATACAAAAGTTGGCTGAGGTAGAGCACCTCTTAAAAGTTACTGGCTTTCATCAGTTCTTTTTCAGTACTAACCATTGGTGCCTAATAGGTATTTGTTAGAGTGCAGATGGCAGAAGGACTCTTAGAGAGAGAGCCAATCTCTTTCAATTAGGTTTCCTTGCAAATCCATATAGGATATATGGATATCAGGTGATATTCCTCTTTGGGACAGTGGCCAAAGCCAAAGCATAAATTACTTTAGCAAACTTCTTGATCACTTTTTGGAAGGAAAAAAAAAAAGAGGGGAGAGGAAAAAAAGTGTAACACGGTTGCTCAAGAAACCATTATCACGGATTTGATGACAGAAGAGGTTTCCTCTCCTGTCCTGTATTCCAGTGTTTCTGACCTTAGCATGAATAATGCCATCCCATTCAGCAAGGTAAAGAGGTGGCAGCTCAGGGGTGGGAAGAAAAGAGAAAGGAGAGTTTGGTTGTCGATACATGTCTTGATCCTGTTTCTCTGAGGTCTTCAGAGTTCAAGGTGTGAGCTGCAACTAAGGAATCCTTCTTGTTGTGCATTTTTAATGAGGAGCAGGACAGTCCTGTTGTTGTTACAGCACAAAGCAAAATAAGTAAGTGAAGCAAGCAATAATGCGCTGTAATTACAGGGTTTGTAGACAGGCTGTCAGCATGCATGAATCTTCCCTCAATCTTGGGGAATGGGTCAGTATTACACACTTTTTCATGTAGAGTATGCAAGCAGCAAAAGTACTGCAAATTATGGACCTGATAGGGACATTACTGAAAATGGAAAGAAAATTTCCAAGTCATCATAAATGTGGAAATAATATTTTCACATCATAGAGGATGACATCATTGTTTCCATAGTTGTCAATGTCATCAATGATGTAACCATATCTTTGATTTCTTCCTGCTAATTATGCTCTTTTCCTAAATATTTTGTATTCTGTGAAAGCTCTTTGCCCACTAAAATCCTTTGCTAAGCAGAAGCACAAATCAAAAAAGTCTAAATTAACAACATTTCATTGCTGCTCTCTTTTTTCCTAGTTAAAAAAAAAACAATCCAGTACTTAAACTATGATAAGTAATATGGAAGGCTCTTCTTTCAGATGAAACTTACTTACACTGCTGCTTTCTCCACAAAAGCTGGCAGAAATGAATTCTTAAAGGCACTATTCTCTAATCTTTTTACTCACTTTGTGGTGAAACGCAGTGTCCCCATTCATGGAACACAAACTCGAAAAGAAAAAAAGTGTGGTTTCACTCTACTTTGAAAAATTGAGGCATTCAAACCCAGGGACAGGCAGACAACAAAAGCTGTGACATGTTTAGAAATGTCTGAAAAGACTCTTAAAAGACACTGGAGAAGTAAGTTGAACCTCTTTTGCCCAGGTTTTTTCCCTCCCACCCCGCTCCACCCACGGGGTGCTCCCCCAGCAGCCCTGCGAGGAGCAGTGCACCCCAGTCCCTGCCCCTGCGTGGGGATGGCCACCGCCTTGCAAGCAGCCCCCGTCCCCCCCCCGTGGCCCGGCTGAAGGGGCTGTCTAGTATTCCAGGCACGTATTCCTCTGGGGTTTGTCTTTTTTTTTTTTTTTTCCCCGCTTCCAGAGATCTGCCGAAGTTTCCCCTCCACTCTGTCACCTCCCAGCCCGCCCCCGCCTCCCATTTGGAAAGGGTAAAACAGGAGCAAGAAGGGAGAAAATCCCGTAACTTGTCCAAAGCATGCAAGGATGATTTGTGTTCTCACTTATGGGGTATGACTGTCACCGTTGATCTGCTTTCAGGACTAGATTACATCTGATAAGGGCTGACCTTATTTGAGTATTCACACATTATGCACTCATGGAGAGCACGCTGGACACAAAAGTCCCTCAGATGTTCTGGGCATCAATCATGCTCACAGCGTGGAGGCTGCCAAACTTTTCTTCCCTTTAACTTGGGAGAGGAGAGGGCAGTCCAAGACAGACTTAATAAAGTTTAAAGCTGTGCCACAGTATATTTGGGGCCCATTGTCTTCTAAAAGTGTGCTTTTCAACAAATTCTCTGCAGTTACCACGGGCAACAATTCGTCTTTAACAAATTGGGGGTGGGGGGGTGCAGACCGTAGGGAGGAGGGAAAATGAACAAAGAGCTTGCCAGCTCCTTTAAAACAAAAGCCAAACAACCAAAACCTCTCTCTTATTTGCCACATACTTACAAAAACAAAGTAATTTCTCAAAATCATTCCTAAAAATGGAGTAATTTCAGAACATGTCTTAAAGCAAATCACATCCTTAAGAACTCATGAACTTACTGTTTACCACATGCAAATGCTTACACTCGTTAACTCAAATAATGCGTGATTTTATAAAGAATATATTGCAAACATCCCTAACCACTAAAACATTTCATCGTTGCAATGACTGACACCTCTGTTTAAACTTTCCTGATTTCACAAGAATTACAACAAGTTTTATAAACCTTCTGTTTCAGTCTGCACGTTTATTTTAAATTATGAGAGTCAGGAGGAAATAACAGCACACAGCA